AAAAAAAAAAAAAAAAAAAAAGAAAAAGAGAAGGAGAGAAGGAAGGAAGAAAAAAAGAAAGGCTGTGGTGTGTTTGCATGTACTCAACAATGTTGCTATGTGCATCAGGGCAAGGCCTGTCAGCAAGGCTGGGAACCACTTTCATGTCCACCAAGAAAGAAGGGCAAAGAAAACTAAGACCCTTTCTATTAGGTTGGTGCAAAAATAATTGCGGTTTGTGCATTTTTTTTTTTTTTTTTGAGATGATGGAGTCTCGCTTTGTCTCTCGCTTTGTCGCTAGGCTGGAGTGCAGTGTCGTGATCACGGCTCACTGCAACTTCTGCCTCCCGGGTTCAAGCGATTCTCCTGCTTCAGCTTCCCAAGTAGCTGGGACTACAGGCACGCGCCACCACGCCCAGCTAATTTTTTTGTATTTTTTAGTAGAGACAGGGTTTCACCATGTTGGCCAAAATGGTCTGGACCTCTTGACCTCGTGATCTGCCCTCCTCGGCCTCCCCAAGTGCTGGGATTACAGGCATGAGCCACTGCACCCGGCCGCAATGTTTTTAACGGCAAAAAAACACGCAATTACCTTTGCACCAACCTAATACAATATGTGCCCCTTAAAAGGAAATGAGCAGTGTGGAGAGTTCTGGCAGATGAGCGCCAAGGTACTTACTTTGTCGAATGAAAAAGCAGAGTGCCCAACAGAATAGAAAAGGCCTCCTTTTGTGTAACGCACACCCGCACCCGCACGTATGTGCTCTAAAGAAAATACAAGGTTAGTGCTTTCCTCAGGGGAAAGGGCACTTACTTTTAACTGCAGACCGTTTGAAATTATGAATGACGGCAGTGGGAGTGAGCCCTAGTGAGTACAGCAGTTGGGAACATCCAGTGAGCAATTATGTGTCTGGTAGTTGTGGACATTTCACACACACTATCTCATTAAATCTTCACACAACCTCATGAGGAAGCTATCATTATCTGCTTCTTACAGAAAATGAAGGCACAGAGAGGTTAAATTCCCAAAGATGATATAAGAAGTGGAGAGACCCGGATCACAGCCTAGATAGTCGGACCCCAACCGATGCTCTTAATAATACAGCACACACACAATTTTCCATTAAAAACAAGTCCTTGGCCAGGTGTGGTGGCTCGCGCCTGTAATCCTAACATTTGGGGAGGCTGAGGCGAGAGGGTCACTTGAGGCCAGGAGTTGGGGAGCAGCCTGGGCAACACAACGAGGCACTCCCCCGCCCCCAACTGTAAACGACAAAACCAACTAAACAAAAGGCAAACCCAAGTCCCCAATACACTTCTGGTCTCTACTGCCTCATCCACGGGTCCCGTGACTGTATGTGAGACCTGGCCGGACCTCCCTTCGGGGTGAGCCGCTCCTTCACGGTGGGGAGACGGCGGGAACCCGTGCCCCAGGATGCCGTGCACGTGGTCGGCTCGGCGCGGAGGCTCCTTCCGGTGTCCCGGGGGGCGCTCGGCTGATGAAACGCGGCCTCCAGCTCCGCTCCGCCGCGGGCCCGGGAGCCGCGTTCCCTCTTGGCACCAAGGCGAGCCCAGCGGGTAGCTCCTCCGGGTGAGGCGGCCGAGCGGGGGGCGGGCCCGGGAGGGCGGCGCCGCGCGGCGCGGGAGGCGGGCGGGGCGCAGGGCTGCGGTGCCCGGAGGCTGCGGTACGAGGGCCGCTGCGGCCCCGATCTTCTGCGTCCCCGGGCGGCGGCTGCGGCGCAGGCGGCGGTGCCGGCGGTGAGTGAGTGTGCGCGGGCCTGGGCGCGCGCCCGTGTCCTGCGATCCGGGATTGGTGCCGCGAGCTCCGGGGCCAGGAGGCCGCCTGGGCGCCTTCGCCTTGGCCTGCGTTCCGGCCCGACGGCCTGGGTTCGGCGCCGCGGGGAACTCGGTGCGCCCTGGGGCCCCTGCTCCCTCTTGGAGGCCGTGGGAGCGCCTCTGAGGAGCCTCCGGGAAGCCCGCGGTTGGGAAGGGCCGGACTGATTTCTGGGGAGAAGGAGATCCCCCCTCCTTAGCCGACCTGGACAGTTCCAGAGGGCGGAGACTGAGACTGGGACGAGACAGCTGCCCAAGGCCAGGGCCATGTATGGCGGGACAGCCCCGGCTGGCTTGAAGGAGCCGGGGTTTCAATTCTGGCACAGTCCAGGACCGGCTCCTTGACCTTGGGTGGTGCACTGTATTTTCCGGGTCTTAACGTCCTCGCCTGTAAAATAGAGAGCTCAGACTCATTGTGTCGACAGGGTTTTCCGCCCCGAAACTTCTGTAACCAGAACCTCTTAGGGTCTCTTGTCGGATTTTTCACAAACAAAACAAAACCTGATTTAGGGAAACTGTAGTTTCTCTTTTTCTGAGAAAACAGGACATAAGAGTATTTTCCTTTGCAGATGCTCTCTACGAGCTGAAAAAAAGGGGAGCTGACCTTGTGCCCAGATGGGTAACTGGAAGTTCTGGTTAAAATGCAGAATCAGGAAAGGAGACCCAGAGAAGCTCTGGTTTTCTGCTTAGTTGCAGGGTCCTCAAAGCTGTGCTCACTCCCTCTGCTCTGCCTCCACCCTGGTCTGTCTGACCCTCTGCATTGTCCTAGGGCTGGTGCAGGGCTGGGCTGAAAAGGGAAATGGGGTTCAGGACATGTGATGGGCATCTGCCCTTCGGGTCTGCCAGCACCCCTCCTGACCCCTGCAGCTTCCTGGTTGAATGAGGGGCTGCAAGGTGAGCACACAGGCTGCCCTGATGTGCCCGTCCTGGCCTCTGCTCCATATCCCTTTCTGCTTGGCATTGGCCTTTCTTGGCTCTCACTTCTACCTTTGCCAAGCCCAGGAGCCTCCTTCCTCCAGGAAGCCTTCTGGAGAACCCTTCTCCCACCCCAACCAAGGTGCTCCCTCCCACTGCCTTGTTGTAATAGTTTTTTTCGTAATTGTCTTTCCCTGAGTTTATCTTTTCTTTCCTACCAGTTGGTGATCCCCAGCAGGGAGGGCTGAGTAGGAACTTCAGATTTTGTATGCAGTTTCATAGTCGAGAAAACACAGGGCCTGGCCTGAGAAGGTGCTTAGGAAATGTCTGTGGAGTGAAAATGATGGCAGCTGTATTTCTTCAATGATTCCTATTTGCCCAGTGCTATTCTGAGTGATTTACATGTGTGAATCTTTAAACCTCACAAACACCTGAAGTTGCTGTCGTTATTCCCACTTACGTGTAAGGAAACTGAGGCAGAGAGAAGTAACTTGCTCAAGGTTTCGCAGCTGGGAAGTGGCAGGACAGGGCTGGTGACTTTTCGCTATTACAGGAAACTGCCTCCAGGTGAATGGAATAAGGTCTGCTGATTGGTACTTTGTGAGAGGCTGATGAGGCCAACTAGGGCGCTGTGATTTCTTTCCAAAGACAATGCCTTATGGTGGGATTTTTGCAATGCATGGAACCTTACCACGAAGTCTGGAAGGATACCTGTGCAGCTCCAGCCTGCGCATGGTCCCTCGAGTCTCCTCTGTCCCCAGGCCTTTTTGAGACTCTGGCACAGCTTCTCTGGGCTGTAGGCCCCTAGTTACAACATCCCTGCGTTCCTTGTCTGGAACGTGGATCTCGGGATTCTATCTGCCTCAGGGGCCTAAGATCAAATGAAGGAAGGATTATCAAGGGCAGGGCAGACATCCTTGTGGCTGTTTTTGTTGCATTGGATTCCTGCCTGTTGTGGGGAGGTAGAAGGTAAGAGGAAGGAAGTAAGGCATGATGAGAGTGAGAAATGCTTGGCATATTTAGGAGGCCTGCTGTGGGCCAGGTGACGAGAAGGCCCCTGCTAGCCCCAGTGTAGCGTCTCAGGGCTGACTTGCATCTGTTGCTTGATCTTGCCTGGGAAATGCAGTCTCCCTTCGCCCACTCTTTTTTTTTTTTTTTTTTTTAAGACAGAGTTTTGCTCTTGTTTCTCAGGCTGGAGCGCAATGGTGCAATATTATTGGCTCACCACAACCTCTGCCTCCCTGGGTTCAAGTGATTCTCCTGCCTCACTCTCCTGAGTAGCTGGGATTACAGGCATGCGCCACCATGGCCGGCTAATTTTGTATTTTTAGTGGAGAGGGGGTTTCTGCATGTTGGTCAGGCTGGTCTCAAACTCCTGACCTCAGGTGATCTGCCCACCTTGGCCTCCCAAAGTGCTGGGATACAGGCGTGAGCCACTGTGCTCAGACAACTCACTCTTTTTTGTTTTGTTTTGTTTTGTTTGGTAAGGGTGATTTCATGAACATTCTCAGAGACAGTCACTCCAGAGTGCGGAGAACCAAGGACATGGAAATGACGGGCTTGGACCCTGGAGCCAGAGGGCTTGGGTTTACCTCCTGGCTCCACAGCCGGTAGCGTAGCCTCCCAACCTTGGGCAAGTCACTTTACATCTTTGACCTGTAGTTTTTTCTCCTTGTAAAGTAGGAAAATCATGTTGAGGAAAGGGGCCTGTGTGGTGAGCAGAGTACTGGATATCATGCTTACATTTCTTTCTGTTACATCCCCACAGCAGCTATATGAGGTAGGCCTCTCTATCCCCATTTGACAGATGAGAACCACAAAGTTCGGGTTAAGTACCTTGACAGCAAATGTAAGGTTAAGTAACTTGACAGCTAATGACAGTGCATGTAAGTGGCTGAGTGGGAATTCAGGTCCATGTTTTCTGACTCTAAAGTCTTCAGTGTTTTCGTAGTTTGCTGCTTTGCAGCCTTAGAACCCACACAGGGTAGGGCTTGTCTTTTACATATTCTTGGTTGGGAATGGGGACTCCTAGTCATCTTCCAGAGCTGAAATCGGGGCCAGCTTCAGGTACATGTGACCTGTGCAGTCACACAGGTTCCCCCACTTAGGAAGCCCTTCCATTTGGTTTAATGCCACCTTGACATTCATCATCATTTTTAAACAAGAAGCCCTACATTTTCGTTTTGCATTGGGCCCCACAAATTCTGTAGCTGCCACTGTTTTAAGTATTGAGAGAAGTGGAAGATGGTGAGTGTGAGAGTCCTGTCCCCCCTCTAGGGGGCCTGATCAGTGGCCATCAGCCCTCGGACCAGCTTGGAATCATGAAGATATGGGCTGACTGGTCACATCATGTCTTCACAAACATCTAGAACCATGGCAGCAAAAGACAATTCTAGTAGTCTTTTCACCCAGGTGGTTAGCAGGGCTGGTGTGTCATCCCAGGGGACTTAGGGCTGCTTTTCCTTGGTAAGAGGTAATTCTCAGGCCTGCTGGGGGACCCATAATGGAGGTAAATGTGCAGGTTGCAACGGGAGGTAGTGGCACCGGAAACTCAGCCGATCATGCTCTTGATAACAAACCACCACTGTCTGCCTCAGCCTCCCGAGTAACTGGGATTACAGGTGTGTTCCACCACACCCGGCTAATTTTTGTCTTTTTGGTAGAGGCGGGGTTTCAACATGTTGACCAGGCTGGTCTCCAACTCCTGACCTCAGGTGATCTGCCTGCCTCGGCCTCCCAAAGGAAGGCAACACCCATGACGACAGGTGTCACTGCTTTTGCTGATGAACGTGGCTGAGTGATTCCTGCTCTACCTCTCAGTGACCCAGCTTTGGAGGCTTTGGAGTGCGTCCTTTGTTCAGATGCTGTCGTATGTCCTGTATAAGTATCATCCATTGATCCTTTGCAGCAACCTTGTGGGGAGGGTACCCCGATTTGAAGAGCTGAAGCTCTTTCAGGTTGAACCACTTGCCCAAGTTGACATAACTAAGAGGTGGTAGAGCTGGCTTAATTTTTTTTTTTTTTTTTTTTTTTTTTTTTTTTTTTTTTTTTTTTTTTTGATACTAGTCAAGTGCAGTAGTGAGAAGGGAAGAAAAGAGTAGAATGAGGAGTTTGGTCTGTAACTGAATGTGAACACTCAGTTGAGATAATGTACACTTTCAGACCAGCCTAGAGCTGACATTTAAACTGGTTAGTCTGACTTTGGAGACCATCTTCTTGAAAACAAACTGCCACTGTCTCTGCTAGGGAGCCTGATTGCTTTAATATCTGGGTATTTTTGTTCTCTGGGGTTGCTACTTTTTTCTTTTCTTTTTTTTTTTTTTTTTGAGGCGGAGTTTCACTCTTGTTACCCAGGCTGGAGTGCAATGGCGCGATCTCGGCTCACTGCAACCTCTGCCTCCTGGGTTCAGGCAATTCTCCTGCCTCAACCTCCTGAGTAACTGGGATTACAGGCACGCGCCACGATGCCCAGCTAATTTTTTGTATTTTTAGTAGAGACGGGGTTTCACCATGTTGACCAGGATGGTCTCGATCTCTTGACCTCGTGATCCACCCGCCTCGGCCTCCCAAAGTGCTGGGATTACAGGCTTGAGCCACTGCGCCCGGCTACTTTTTTCTTTTCTTTTTTTTTTTTTTGAGACAGTGTCTTGCTCTGTCACTCAGGCTGGAGTGCAGTGGCATAATCTTGGCTCACTGCAAACTCCACCTCCCAGGTTCAAGTGATTCTCCTGCCTCAGCCTTTCAATTAGCTGATTTTTGTATTCTTAGTAGAGACAGGGTTTTGCCATGTTGGCCAGGCTGGTCCCAAACTCCTGACCTCAGGTGATCTGCCCACCTTAGCCTCTCAAAGTGCTAAGATTATAGACGTGAGCCACCATGCTCAGCCTACTTTTATTTTTCATTTATATTTCCCACCATCTGATTTTGTTGTTGTTTGGTTTTTGAGACAGAGTCTCACTCTGTCACCCAGGCTGGAGTGCAGTGGCGCAATCTCAGCTCACTGAAACCTCTACCTTCCGGGTTCAAGTGGTTCTGCTGCCTCAGCCTCCCGAGTAGGTGGGATTACAGGCCTATGCCACCATACCTGGCTAATTTTTGTATTTTTGGTAGAGATGAGGTTTCACGATGTTAGCCAGGCTGGCCTCCAATTCCTGACCTCAGATGATCTGCCCACCTCAGCCTCCCAAAGTGCTGGGATTACAAGCATGGGCTACCATGCCTGGCTGATTTTTTTTTTTTTTTTTGTATTTTGCAATGTCTTATGAGAAGTTACTTGAGATCTTGTGTGTAAACAAGACTCCCTGTAATGAATACACCTGTCCTGTGCCAGGTTGCCTGGGGCATCCTCCGTGAGGGTATAGAAATCCCAGCTGCCTGGGAGTGGGGCCTGGTCATCTTTTGAGTTCCCCGTGGGCCCCTGTCTGTGCCTGCCTGAGCTGGAGAAGACCCAAGACCAGAAGGGAAGTTCTCAGTTTGGGCCTTGGAGGGTTTTAGTTTCTCTTCCTCCTCCTTCTCCTTCTGGGAATTTTTTTCCAGCACATTCAGAAAGGCCAAAGTCGACAAAAACACTCTGGGTGGCTCTCCCTGGTGACTTCCACCCTGGAGAGAGCCCTAGGAAGCAGCAGCTTGCCCAGGCCCAGGCCTGAAGTTCTTTTTTTGTGCTGTGTTTTGAAGGCATTTGACGCTGAGCTGGCCGCTGCAGAATGAACCACAGCTCTGAGAAGGGGAAGTAGGAACAGCTGGCACCCTGCCATGGCCTGTGAACCACAGGTGGACCTGGTGGCCGCTGGCCCGTTGCCTCCCTCCTCCCCTGGCTGGAGTGCCCTGCCTGGAGGGAGCCCTCCTGGCTGGGGGCAAGGTAAGGTCACCACCTTTCTTTTTCCACCCCCTTTCTACCTCATGCTGAGCTGGACTCACAGGGAGTAAAAGTTCCTTTAGATAAGGTCGGGGGAGGTGTCTTTGAGATACAGCTCTATGCCACGTTCCGTCATTTTTACCAGTTCTCGCTCTTGGCCGTAGGCCAAGCCACCATCAACTTCTGCTGAGCCCCCGCTGTAGCTTGCTTGTTGGTCTTCTCTTTTCCATCCATTCTCTACATAGCAGCAAGAGAGCTTTTTATTATTTATTTATATTTCTAATTTATTTCTATTTATTTAGAGACAGGGGCTTGCTTTGCCACCCTGGCTGGAGTGCAGTGGTGTGATCATAGCTCACTGCAGCCTTGAACTCCTGGACTCAAGCAGTCCTCCCACAGCCCCCTGAATAGCTGGGATTACAGGCCTGCACCACCACATCCTGCTAATTAAAAAATCTTTTTTGTAGATATGGGGCCTTACTTTGTTGCCCAGGCTGGTCTCAGACTCCTGGCCTCAAGCAGTCCTCCTGCTTTGGCCTCTGAAAATGCTAGGGTTACAGGAATGGGGCCCAGAGACCTTTTTTTTTTTTGAGATGAAGGCTCACTCTGTTGCCCAGGCTGAGTGCAGTGGCATGATCTTAGCTCACTGCAAACTCCACCTTTCAAGTTCAAGCAATTCTCCTGCCTCAGCTCCCCAAGTAGCTGGGATTACAGGCACCTACTACCACACCTAGCTAATTTTTGTATTTTTAGTAGAGATGGGGTTTCACCATGTTGAGCGGACTGGCCTCAAACTTCTGACCTCAGGTGATCTGCCCACCTTGGCCACCCAAAGTGCTGGGATTACAGGTGTGAGCCACCACACCTGGCCCAAGAGATATTTTTAAAATACACATTCAGTCCAACCATGTCACTTTCTGCTTCGTGTTTCCCATTGGGCTTAGTGTGAAGACCCATCAGTATTGGCTTGCAAGGCCTGCCTTCATGTTCTTTGCTGTGCTGTTCTGCCTCAGCACCTTTGCACCTGCCTTTCCTTCTGCCTGTTGTGCTTTTTCCTTGCCTCCGTTCCCCTGATAAATTTCCATTAATCCACCAGACATGCTGGCTCACACCTGTAATCCCAGCACTTTGGCAAGCCAAAGCAGGTGGATCCCTTGAGGTCAGGAGTTCGAGACCAGCCTAGCCAACATGGTGAAACCCTGTCTTTACCAAAAATATGAAAATTAGCTGGATGTGTTGGCGGGTGTCTGTAATACCAGCTACTAGGGAGGCCGAGGCAGGAGAATCACTTGAACCTGAGAGACAGAGGTTGCAGTGAGCTGAGATCACACCACTAGACTCCAGTTTGGGTGACAGAATAAGACTCTGTCTCAAAAAAAAAAAAAAGAATTTTCATTCATCCTTCAGAACTCAGTTCCAATATCCCTTCCTTGAAGAATCTTGCTGGTGGCTCAGCCTCAGTCAGGACCTTCTGATATCTTCCTGTTTCTCCTCTAGCATTTATCATACTCGGTAAATAATTATCTATGTATAAAGTCAAGTCTGGCTTCTTCACTAGAGTGTAAGCTCCCTGAAGGAAGGGGACTCCTGTCTTTTTCATCCCCGTATCTACAGTACCTAGCACAGGCCTTGGCCCATAGTTGATGCTCAATAAATATTTTGTTGAATGAATGAATTAATGAGTAGCCAGATATGGATAAAGGAGAAGAGCACCCAGAATTGTGGGTGTCTACAGGAATGTGGAGGGTTTTTTGGAGGTTTTGAAATTTGACTGCTTAAAAACAAAGTCTTCTTTTATTACTACGATTGTTAGGAAAACAATGTGTGGCTGGGCACGGTGGCTTAAACATGTAATCTCAGCACTTTGGGAGGTCAAAGCAGGCAGGGCACCTGAGGTCGGGAGTTCAAGACCAGCCTGACCAACATGGTGAAACCCTGTCTTTATATATTAAAAAAAAAGGAAAACAATATATATGTGTGTGTGTGTGTGTGTGTGTGTGTGTGTGTGTGTGTATATATATATATATGTATATATATACATATATATATACACACACACAAACCTATATATACACACACACACACACAAACATATATACACACACACATATATATACACACAAACATATATATACACACACACACATTGTTTTCCTTTTTTTATAAATATGTGTGTGTGTGTATATATATATGCACACATATATATGTAAGGTAAGCAGTGTGTACACATACACACACAATAGTAGAACAAGATGGAATGAAATAATTTTTCCGTCAGAACTTTGAAGACATTTCTCCACTGATTTTTGGCACGTCAGTTCTTGTTCCTCTGTAGGAAACTGCACCCCCCGCATGTGCGTGCAAACACACACACACACACACACACAAACACAGACACACACATTTTTCTTTCGTAGCTTTGCTTAGCGAAGATGTAAAAACAAGTATTTTTAAGTGGAGGACTTGCTGTTCTCACTTTAAGGAACAGATGAGAGCTGGTATTGCCAAGAATCTAGGAACTCTTGGTTTGAAAGGCAAACGAAGACATCCTGAAAGCTCTTTGCATTGCTTGGGCAAACACATAACTCAGTGTACAACGAACTAGACCTGGGAATGGTTCCGATTCTCCATGTGTGGAGTCCAAATCAAAGTGGGGTTTTCATTCTTGCTGTGAAGGGGAGAGCTGGTCTCAGACCGGATCTGCTTGACTGCCTGCATTTTGTACACTACCTTCCTTTTTCGCTTCTTGTTCTCACTTTCATTTTCCTTGTGCACAAGGGAGTTTCTTTGCTTTTCGAAGGCTCAGTTTTCTTTTCCATGCTGATGGTACCCAGCTTTGGGGGGCTCTTGGAGGATGAATTGAAATCATGAATGAAGCTCAAGCGTCATATCTGACACTTAGTAAAGGGCTCCATACCCAGAACCTGTTCTTATTGCCTTTCTTTTTGTTTTGTCTGGTTTTCCTCATTTGCTTATTATAAAGTTTATTTTTAGGCTCTGCACATTGGCTTATACCTGTAATCCCAGTACTCTGGGAGGCCTAGGTGGGTGGATTACCTGAGGTCAGCAGTTTGAGACTAGCCTGGCCAACATGGTGAACCCTGTCTCTACTAAAAACACAAAAATTAGCTGGGTGTGGTGGTGTGCACCTGTAATCCCAGCTACCAGGGAGGCTGAGGAAGGAGAATTGCCTGACCTTGGGAGGTGGAGGTTGCAGTGAGCTGAGATTATGCCAATGCACTTCAGCCTAGGTGACAAGAGCAAAAATCCAAGTCAAAAAAAATTGTTTTTATAGTTTTAGTTACTTACTTATTTTTTTGAGACAGGATCTCACTCTGCTGTCCAGGCTGGAATGTAGTGGCATGATTTTGGCTTACTATAGCCTTGACTTCCCAGGCTCAGGTGATCCTCCCACCCCAGCCTCCCAAGTAGCTGGGACTACAGGCACGTGCCACCATGTCTGGCTTTTTGTATTTTTTTTGTAGAGACAGGGTTTTTCGCCATATTGCCCAGGTTGGTCTCAAACTCCTGAGCTCAAATGATCCACTTGCCTCAGTTTCTCAAAGTGCTGGGGCTACAGGCATGAGCCACCATGCCCAGCCAGTTTTATCTTTTCATATTTTACTTTTATGAAACCACCTTAAATCCCTTCTGGAACAAGATGTGGGAGGGTAAAAACACAAATAAATCAAGGTTGCTTGATTGTAAGTTTTGTGTTGTGACAACTTGCTTTTAAATTATGAAAATAGCCAGTTATTTTGTACCCGTCTTGTGCTGAGCACTTTATTTTTATCATCTTAATTATTTGTAAAGTCCTCTGCAGTGGATGTGCATCCTCTGAGCGAGGGAACAGGCTCACAGGTTCAAGTTGCTTCCTCAACTTACCATGTTAGTGAGAGGCTGAGCTCCAATTTGAACCCCAAAACTATCTAGCTTATATTTTCACCACCTCACCACCTGGCATCCTCATCTCCCCCACCACTTCCAAAAAAAAAAAAAAAAAAAAAGAGAGAGAGAGAAACACAAAATAAAGTTCTTTTTGGCAGGATGTAGAATTGAGAATTCTGTGGAACCCTTGAGATCATAGATGATATCCCAGTGTATCAAAAAAGAACCTTTTACTCTCTGGCTGCAGTGGCTCAGGCCTATAATCCCAGCACTTTAGGAGGCTGAGATGGGAGGATTGCTTGAACCCAGGAATTTGAGAGCAGCCTGAGTGATTTAGTGACTTTGTCTTTACAAAATAAATTTTTTTTTAAAAAAGGCCAGGTGTGATGGCTCACGCCTGTAATCCCAGCACTTTGGCAAGCCAAAGCAGGTGGATC